TTAGGATTAAATCAACTTTGATGCAGACATGTTGCTTCAGAAACAGTCAGAACCAATCAAATATTCTTTAGAACTCACTCTGCTTTCATCCAAAAGAGCTTCTGGCAAGGAAACAAATCCTGCATCAATATACATAGCTTCACACTATCTGAATGTGCAACTTTTAGCAAGTATTTCAGTAAAAAAATATACCTGGCTCCAAGACTGATTTTAAATGGTCTCTCAAAAGCTTAATGAAACTGTAGATAACATATGAATTAACACTGATAAAATGCATGAAAAATAAGCCCTCCTAAAAATTACCTAGAAGACAGGCATCCACATATGCACACATATCATCAAGGGTGGCCTCATGGAACTGAGTCACATACTGCCAAGTTTCTAATATTAACAGCTTTAACACTCGATCATCAACTTTAGAAATTCTCATCATAAAGAATGTAATGATGAAGTATTATACTTTAAACCCTTATCTCTGTGTTGTGCATATTTTCCAATAACTAGTTCAGAGGGGATGAAAATTTCCTCCAGCTATCAAGCATACACACCAATCATTCAGATTTAACTATAGCAGCTCATGTTTTTTGCTTAGCTTTACCAAAAACTGTATGAAAGTGTTTATCAAAATGCATAGTCCCTCAGATGTCTTTGCTCATTTTCAGAAAGTCTACTCCTACTCAAATGTTGTAGGGCTGAATCTTTTTTGGGGAAGTGCTGGTTTCTGTTGCTAATAGCTCATGGGAGTGGTTTTGGCAACATTTTGAAGAAGTGAGAAAAATAAATCACCAGGTAATAAAATAAATACACACCTGCTACACGGTTCTGACATATATGAAAGGAAAAGGGAACAAAGTACCAATCATCAAACCTGTTTATATAATTTTTCCATTACTTTATGCAACTGTTGCTAAGCAGTCATGTGCATGGTGATGAGTGGAGTGTGAATACCTAGACAGATTAGAGAGACATATGTTACCAAACACAATGTATGGTGTACTTTCTCTCTAGACTGCTGCGCAAAACCAAGATACCAACTATCCCTTTTCCCCAAGGGGACTGCAGTGTCAGATCATTCACAGAAATAGTTCAGGGGTCTGACCTTGCAGCAATACAGGTATCACTTTCTGCTCTTAGTTACACAGCTCTCTCACTAGAGTTAAAACAGGCAGAGTGCATGTACTACTGCATTTTAAATAAAGATTTAAATTAAAAGAATGACTAAAAATTTTCAAAATCATCAATTTTATAATGGTTTTACAATTCATGCAATCTACTTCTTGAGCCAGTTTGTAAACCCTGTTGTATTATTTCCAGAATCAGCTAGAAATATAAAATACATAAATTTAGAAATATCTACATTGGAAAAGAAATTCACTCTGTTAGCTATTAGGACTGAGCTATCCTGTAAGAAATTTGAAGAAGAGTATCTTAAGGTAGTTCAAGCAGCTGTACAGGGGAAAATGTTAGAGAACAAAAGGAGTACAAATTCGTTTCTAAATAAATGTCTTTCCCCACATCTAATTTCAAATAACTGCTTTCCAACTGGTAATGTGTTCTAACATAAGCAATAAAAACAGTGGCTGTAACAGGCATGGGAAAAGCACAACACAGAATCATGAAACTTGGCAAAAAGAACTGCAAAAAAAGTCAAAGGATAGCAATAAGAGGTGAAGATACAGTCAATAAGTGCATGGGTGAGAGATGAAGACTTTTAGTCAACAACACTTTTGGAGAACCTAAAATAAGAGAAGCCAAAAGAAAAACCTTGCACCATAATCAAGGAAACTGACAGCTGAGACACAATCTATGGTTTTCATGCCAGACGGGAAGAAATGTATAAACTATTGCAAAGGAGGAATCACAAACTTTTACTAACAATCTAAGCATTGAAAGAAAAGGGAAACTAGAAGGAAAGTTTGATAATAACTCAAGTGGGAACTTTTGTAGCTGAAATAAGCAAAATTTCTGCATGTGCCAGAGCAGATTCTATTACTTTGCTCCAACTGTTTAGTAATAAAGTCAGATGTGATTTTCATCACACTTCACTGCAGACTGGAGCAGGACACCCACAATGAAGTTTCAGCAAGACAGCTGATGGTGTAAAGCTGAGCAAATGAGAAAAGTCTGAGTGGGAGTCAGGAGATTGGAACTAATAGCTGAATAAATTAGCCGTCCAATACCTTCATTTACTGAAATGATTTCATTGTGAAATAAATGCATATCCTGTGTTTATTTCACTGTGTAATATGAAATTCAAATCTGCTTTTACATATGTATGCAATCAGTCTTAAATGCAGCTGTATTTATTGTCTTAAAGTCCTGAATTTCACACTTACAGAGTACCCCCTTCAAAAACTAGTATTTATTCACAGAATTGCCAAATACTTTGAGATCTTCTCACATAAACTCTCTCTCTCTCCCAAAATCCATTTCATGTGAACATACCAAAGTTGCTGATCATTTCTATGGCAAATATGAAGTTTTTAAGAGGATAAACTTGGAGCTCCAAGAGACTCCAGGAGTACACTATGGAAATAAACAACATTCACAAATGTTGGTCTAAAAACATTCTGTCAGAATTTGAAGGCAAAGTTTTCTTACAAAGTTCCACTTTGACTTTAAAATCAATGCACCACCATCTATACATAAATATATAAATATATTTCTTTTTTTACCCAAAATTGTCTACAACAACATGCTTTATGACCTTTTCTCATGCAAGCCCAGATAATATAGACTTTCAGCAATACTCTAAAATTTTTGCACACAGCTGTTCAAGTCCAAGCATTAATGCCAACTATTTCAATGCTTAATTTCCCTATACTCAAACAAGAGAGTATACCCCTACATAATGCAAGGTGCTACCAATGTTTACTATAATTAGTGTTTCAGGTTTAAAAAAAAAAAAAAAAAAAAAAAAAAATCACAATTTTAACAACAAATCAATAAATAATATGATTGCTGGGTGCACAAAGTGTGTTGTTTTTTTACCAGATACCCACTAATAAACATCTATACTCAAAAGAAACCTAACTGCTAGCAATGTTCTTAAATCATTATGGTACCAATGCCTGTCAGGTTTCCATCTTTGGAAATACTCAAAACTGTCTATGAGCAACCTGCTTTAGGTGACCCTGCTTTGAGCAGAAGGTTGGAGTACCAGATCTCCAGAGGACACTTCCAGCCTCAGTGATTCTTTGATTCAATTTTAAGCATAGTGATATTATTTGTCATGTTCACAATATAGTAGCAGTCCGCACTTCTTCCTATCAGCATCTCTGATCAGCTAAACAAATACCAAAACAAGACAAAAATAAGCTTCTCAAATACCCTTTCCGGCTATTTCATCACTAGTTAGTCCTCAGTGCCAAGTCTGCTGTGTTTGAATTTCTATAAATTGATAAAAGTGTTGGTACAGAAAACAAACTCAAACTACACTGCAAATTTAAAATTAATGTATCAGGATGTACGAGAAGCTGCTCAAACAACAAGAGATTAGATATTCATATGAAGCTTTATTCCCAAACACAGTAAGTAAAGTATATGTATAAGCACATAGAATCATAGAATAGTTAGGGTTGGAAAGGACCTTAAGATCATCTAGTTCCAACCCCCCTGCTGTGGGCAGGGACACCTCGCACTAAACCATGTCACCCAAGGCTCTGTCCAACCTGGCCTTTAACACTGCCACTGATGGAGCCTTCACAACTTCCCTGGCTGGCCAACCTGTTCCAGTAAAGAACTTCTTCCTTATATCCAATCCAAACTTCCCCTGTTTAAGTTTTAACCCATTACCCCTTGTCCTGTCACTACAGTCCCTAATGAATAGTCCCTCCACAGCATCCCTATAGCCCCACTTCAGAAACTGGAAGGGCTACTATGAGGTCTCCATGCAGGCTTCTCCAGGCTGAACGGCCCCAACTTCCTCAGCCTATCTTCAGATGGGAGGTGCTTCAATCCCCTGATCATCCTTGTGGCCCTCCTCTGGACTTGTTCCAACAGTTCCATGTCCTTTTTATGTTGAGGACACCAGAATTGCACACAATACTCCAAGTGAGGTCTCATGAGAGCAGAGTAGAGGGGCAGGATCACCTCCTTCGACCTGCTGGTCACGCTCTTTTTGATGCATCCCAGGATATGTCTGGCTTTCTGGGCTGCGAGCACACACTGAAGCCAGCTCATGTTCATTTTCTCGTCGACCAACACCCCCAAGTCCTTCTCCACAGGCTGCTCTGAATCTCTTCTCTGCCCAACCTGTAGCTGTGCCTGGGATTGCTCCAGCCCAGGTGTAGGACCTTGCACTTGTCATGGTTAAACTTCATAAGGCTGGCATCAGCCAACATAAATTAAACTATCACAAACATCACGTTAAATGAAGTTCATATGAAGTCTTCACACTTCCTATGCCATTTCTACGTTATATAATTACAGCAGGAACGGTGATCAAGGTTAGAGATAGTCCACAGAGATCTGTTTCACAGCATCCCACAAGAATGAAATAACCTGAGTATCACCAAGTCAAAACACACAACTCAGCCTTTCAGCTAATGAACACTGACATAGTTACAAAGCAAATACACCACAGCATCCTTTTCCAAAACACACACTGGGGCTATGAAAAGTCATCTTCTTATAGCAGCAAATTTTATTTACTTATAAACATATTAGTACATGACTACTGTGGTCAAATTAGAAACATAGCCAGTGAGTGCTTAAAATCAAGAAAAATGGCAAACAAGTCACATTGGGGTTTCTCCTTTTTTTATAAGAAATGAGAACACACTTCTAAACACTGTGCAGAGAACCATTATCTCCTTCATAATTTCACACTCTTTTCCTCATAAGCAGTTTTCCCAAATAGCATGATTTTTGTCCACTGAACTTGTTAAGGCCTTAAACAGCTGTGATGATAAAGACTGTAACACAACTGATGTTGCAGCTTAACAAAGGTAAAGCTAGTCTTTGCTCTGGTAGTGAACATCAGTTTAAAAATTACTCACCTCTGTTATATGAGGATTGGGATTGAATCCACACAGGCTGCAGACTACAGTATGACACTGTGTGCAAGTGTTGTAATTGGCCTTTTCTGGAGCATGCAGCAGCAGTTCCGTAGTTGTGCAAAGAGGACAGAAGGTTTTCTTTGGGGTGGACTCAGTAGGTTGGGTTGGACCAGCTTGTTTTTGCTGCAAGGGCTTTTCAGGCCCCGGTTGCTGGTTTGGTGGTTTTGTAGGTCCTGGTTGTTGTGCCAGGGGCTTTGCAGCCCCTGCAGGCTGAGAAGATGGTTTTGCTGGCCCTGTCTGTGGTGGCACTTGTTTTACAAGTCCTGTTTGCTGCGGAGGTGGCTTCCCAGGTCCAGGCTGGGATGGTTGTTTTGCAGGTCCTGCTTGCTGAGCAGATGGCTTTTCAGGTCCAGGTTGTTGAGAAGGCTGCTTTGGAGGCCCTGCTTGTTGTGAAGATGGCTTTACAGGACCCCCTTGTCGTGCCGGCTGCTGAGATGGTTGTTTTACAGGTCCTGGCTGCTGTGATGATGGTTTCGTGGGAGGTGGTGCTTGGGATGACAGTCTAACATTCTCTGTTTGCTGTGGTGAGAGTTTTGTTGTTGGGCCTGAAGGTTTTGCAGACGGTGGTTGTTGAACAGGCTTCGATGGTTCTGACTGTTGGGGCTGAGATTTTTGTGGTCCTCGTGGCTGGAGTGGTTGTTTCGCTGGTTCTGCTTTTGAGTCTGACAGGTGACCAGGGCCTGGTCTCTGAACTTGCTTTGGTTCCCCAGGCACTGGTTTGGAAGACTCAGTTTGCTGGGGAGTAGGTCTGGCAGGTCCTTGTTGTTGAACAGCTGGCTTTGCAGACTGTTGTTGAGCTGGATGTTTTGCAAGACCCCTCTGCTCCTCAGGTTTCCCTTGCTCTTTTGGTGTAACCTTTTGTTTCCTACTAGCTTCTTGGGCTGCATCTGAATCTGATATCAAATCAAAAGGATTGAATTTGTTCACAACTGAAGTGACTGCACTCAGTGGATTGGCTTCTGAAAGAAAACTGGGCATCATACTTGGCTTCTGATCTTCTTTAAAATCAGTCCTGGACTTTGACTCCCTTAGACTAATAGAAGAAGGGCTCCGTCCAGGTGCCCGTTGTTCTGTCTTCAGCGCATCTACTGTTCTGCTTTTACTTAAACTTGGTGGTCCTGGATCTGGAGGCTTACCTGGTTGCCTGGGTCTTGTATCAAGCTCAGGATGTCTGCAGACAGAAAATGTAATCGAATTAAAACAATGCACAGTACAAGAGTACCAGAAAAATGAGATAATATAAGATGTATCTGTGACCCTGGAAGTGCATTGGTAATGCTGTGAAGTCTCCTGGGTGTTTGCAAGAGCAACGCTTATAACATAAGGTGCATGTAAAAAGTATTTAAATTAAAATTATTGCTCTTTAAAGCCTTATACCAGTACTCAAACATAGGCTGATTCATTATTTAGAAAATAATCTAATACAACAACTAATTTTCTTTTCAGAAATACAAAGAACACAAAGCTACGACCGCTTGTTTCACCTAAATCCAAACGACTAACTCTCCACTCTACGCCTTGGGATACAAACATAGAGAAGACTGAAAGAAACAGAGGTGTCAGAAAATTAGCAGATCAAAGCACAGCCATACAAGAAAAACACTGCACAATACAAAATGTTTATGTACTTGTGTTTTGGCTACTTGTACAAAATTTGGATATATTTACAATTTAATATGCAGCAAATATTTAAACTCCTAAAACACAGGTACATTAAGGAGTAAATACTTCTTTTTAAACCCATTTCTTTTCAACCCGTCCACTCACAAGTAAGAATTTTCAGACAAACCAGATGTTGGTTCATAGAATTAGTATAGAAGATTTTTTCTTTTTAAATAGAACTACTAGAGAGCTTTCTGTCAGCATCATCCCAACAATTCACATTGCCCAGCAATAAAATCTCTCACTACATAGGGATTTTTCTAACTATTTTAACAACAAGATTTTGCTGTGTTTTCATATAGAAGAAAACAAAACTAAGAATTTAGGAACTAAATCAAGATCATGCCTCCAGATGTGGCATAACATCCTACTTGTTGCTGTATTTGGCTGCAGTGGAAGGAAATAATATTGTAATCAACAGTATTGCATTGTAGTAAAATATTCTATTCAGTGCTACCACTGTGCTTTTGCTGGAAGATATGATGTTCTCTTCAGTGCCACTATAGTGTTGCAAATATAAAATTGTCAGCTTTCACTTTGAGAGATCCAGTTAACTGATCTTGTTTTTCTAGACATGACAGTGCTTTTTGGACATTCATGAGCAAAATCATAGAATCATAGAATAGTTAGGGTTGGAAAGGACCTTAAGATCATCTAGTTCCAACCCCCCTGCTGTGGGCAGGGACACCTCGCACTAAACCATGTCACCCAAGGCTCTGTCCAACCTGGCCTTTAACACTGCCACTGATGGAGCCTTCACAACTTCCCTGGCTGGCCAACCTGTTGCAGTAAAGAACTTCTTCCTCATATCCAATCCAAACTTCCCCTGTTTAAGTTTTAACCCATTACCCCTTGTCCTATCACTACAGTCCCTAATGAAGAGTCCCTCCACAGCATCCCTATAGGCCTCCTTCAGATACTGGAAGGGCTGCTATGAGGTCACCATGCAGCCTTCTCTTCTCCAGGATGAACAGCCCCAACTTCCTCAGGCTATCTTCAGATGGGAGGTGCTTCAATCCCCTGATCACCCTCGTGGCCCTCCTCTGGACTTGTTCCAACAGTTCCATGTCCTTTTTATGTTGAGGACACCAGAACTGCACACAATACTCCAAGTGAGGTCTCACGAGAGCAGAGTAGAGGGGCAGGATCACCTCCTTCAACCTGCTGGTCACACTCCTTTTGATGCAGCCCAGGATACGGTTGGCTTTCTGGGCTGCAAGCGCACACTGCCAGCTCATGTTCATTTTCTCACCAACCAACACTCCCAAGTCCTTCTCCACAGGGCTGCTCTGAATCTCTTCTCTGCCCAACCTGTAGCTGTGCCTGGGATTGCTTCAACCCAGCTGTAGGACCTTGCACTTGGCATGGTTCAACTTCATGAGGTTGGCATCAGCCCACCTCACAAGCGTGTCAAGGTCCCTCTGGATGGCATTCCTTCCCTCTAGCATATCAACCGAACCACACAGCTTGGTGTCATCGGCAAACTTGCTGAGGGCGCACTCAATCCCACTGTCCATGTCACTGACAAAGATGTTGAACAAGACCAGTCCCAACACTGATCCCTGAGGGAAACCACTCGTTACCGGTCTCCAGCTGGATATTGAGCCATTGACCACAACTCTACGTGCGACCATCCAGCCAGTTCTTTATCCACTGAGTGGTCCACCTATCAAATTCATGTCTCTCCAATTTAGAGATCAGTCATTATATTTAACTATATTCCTTAACCAATATATAAATCAATAAAAAATTACACAATTGGCTGAGAATTTTCTCAGAAGTCTGCAGAATTATATATATTAATAGACACACTGAAAAATATTTTTACACTGTTAATGTTACTATGGGTTTACTATTATTTCTGATTAATTTTTACAGTTTTCATTCCATACCTAGCAGTGGCAATACAAAAGGGCAAGGCTAAGTGGCAGCCATTTCTGTGCTCATAATTCTCACAACATGGGATTTTCTCACAATCTTGTCTGAATTGTTTTCGGCAAATTAACAGTTTCCACATGAAATGCTTGTTAAGGAAAAACTATTTCCAGCTTTCCATAACTCCACTTATCCTTCCCCATTCTTGTAAAATTATTGGCTGTAGCACTGGCACTTTATTGTGCAACCCACTGTGAATAGGTGTGTTTCCATTGGCATCAGTGAACACTGATTAACTCATTATACATAACAAAGATAATACAGAAAAGCCCAATGATAATCTAATGCCTTCAAATATTTAGCATCTTTACTTGTTAAAAAGAACAATTTTACACTCTTGTTAGTGACTAGGTAGGTCTACCTGCAGTTCTGTTTCATGTTATTTAGATGAGCACTCCCAAGTTTATCTAAAGAGTTACAGCATGCCAAGTGAAATCATTTCAACCATTCTCTTAGTGGCAGTCTGGTATGCTTCCAGCATTCATGTTTGTAAATGTTCAAAATCTTAGAAGGCATCACTCAACAATGCTGAGTGACAAGGGAGAAAAAGAAAAGGATCAATGGTACTACTGAAACTCAGTTCAGGAAACTGGGTACCATGCCCAAACCTTAAAGTACGAAGGTACAAAAAAGCAAAAAAAGCAAACAAACAAACCACTCCAGAACTAAATCTAGTTTTAGAAACTGAACTTGGACATTAACACAAATAAATATGGATATAATGTCGATCCCCACTGGAATAGAGCTCTCCTCCAGCTTCCATTTTCATCAAAATGATGTGCTCCTTAAACTTCCACCTGATCAGATCTCAGGACTTGGAATGAGATTAAACCCCATGAATCTAGGAAATAAACCCAGATGATTCTGGAAGGCTGCTTGTGTATTGTCTTGCCTTTATATATGACAATGTTTCTAAGCAATGGATATAGAGCATGGTTAACTAGTGGAAGAAAAAGCCTTGAAATGACAAGCTTCTTGAAAAATATTACCTCTGTTAAAAGCCAGGACTTCCTCTATTTAGTTTTAGGTAGCTGGAAGTTGAAGCTTTCTTTTCCAGAACTATTTTGCACCCAGCTACAGACTAACACTGAACAATTTTAAGTAATCTGGAGAATCAGAAGTCCTCAATTAATTTTTTTTTTTTTTACAATAATTTTCTTATTTTTAGACCTTTTGAATCATTAAAAAAAAAAAAACAAACAAACCAAACAAAACCCAAAACAACATTGTCCTTAAGTCTTCAAACCCAACAAGCACAATCATTTAGTCCTCCCTCAGCTAATACTTTACTTCATGCTGCTATGTTCCTTGTCACTTAGGTCTTGAATCACAGTACTCATCTTTATTCATTTACATGAATATTAGAACCAAATCAAAGCTTACTTTGGAGTCAAGAGGAGATTTCACAAAAAGACTAGTGCTTGAATGCCATAGCTATATATACCTATTTAAAAAGGCATGTCTTTTTCCTGTTCATCAGGATAGTATTAAAGAGAAGTGCAATGAATACTATGTGACTCCAGGATAGTTAGAGCTTTTCTTATCTACAGAGAAGGTAGGTATAAACTTACACATACCCCTAGTGGGTTATTCTTTTTTTTATTATTTTAAGTCAATAGAGTGATACTATTAACAAAAATACATATTGCTTCTGGAAAAAACACCATAATCATACTTTAGAAGTGTGACACTCAGGACAACTTCTGAATATTTCCTCTCAAAATGTAGATTTTTTTTTTTTCTATTAATGTCTATTGTGACCAAGTTAACGAACTGAAAACAAACAAACACAACCAACCAGCTGCATTAGATGGTTCATATATACAGTTTGGTCATCTAATCCTTTCAGATGATGTGGATCAATTCCTCAGCAAGTGGACACTGACACAGTTAAAGAATCATTAAATGAAGCTACAACAACTAGAACTTGCTTACAAATTGACTGTGTATGTTTCAGCTAAACTTCCTAACCATGGGTTTTCTGAAAGCAAGCAATTGAAACAGGATAGAAAGATTTCCACAGATGCTAAACACCCCAAATGGTGACCAGGCCCTAGAGAGTAAAACGCTCAAAGAAAAAAAAAAAACAAAACTAAAATGCACATTTGATTTAGGCAATACGCTTTAGGTGCTCTAGATCTAAATGCTTATCTTAAAATGCATAATAAATATTAAATGCATCTACTTAGCTATTGCATTTTTTAAGACTTAAAAGCTCAAAGCCTATAGAAGTCCTAGAAACTACAGCATGCATTTCATGGTGGTAAGCATGCAAGTATGTTTCCTGGTACGTGCATTACTTACTATCAAAAACTCTGTAGTTGCAAAAACTGTTACATCAGGATACCACCAGTTGTAAGGAATTTGTCCATTTTATGACTTGGGTTACTTAGTTGGGCAATGAAAGAGCATTGAGAACAGGAGATAACTATTAGTTTCTCAGGTAAGACTGGATAATAGCTTATATTATAATGGACATCACAGTGGAAAAAATCCAGTTAAAAAAATACCTAACAGGCAGTGCAATCATAACACAATCATAACACAGGGCTATATAAATTGGAACCCAAATTCCTCTTTCAATCACTGTTTCTGTCATTTAACATTTGGACCAGCATAACCCAGTGCTGTGAGCAACAGTTGTAGAGCATCAGTTAAGAGATATTTTCCACATCTGATTTTTTTGGCCACAAAAAATGGGAAAAAAAAAAAAACAAAACCAAACAAACAAAAAAAAAAAAAAAAAAACCACAACCCTGAAGCTAAAGAATCTGAGCCTCAGCAAGCTAGTTCTTCATTTAAGTTAAAGCCTGGAAGAGGCTGATCCTTGGTTCTCAGAAGAGTCTTACTCAAAGGGATTGGATCAGGTTCTTAATTATTCTCATTCTTGGTAGATTTCAATAGCAGAGAGAGGCATGCAAGAAGAGCAAGTAAAGCCACAACAGAAGAGCAGAGACAAGTAGTAACCTCATTACAGCATGACAGGCACAGAGACGTTATGATGCTACAACCCCACAAAAGAAACTAGTTACCTGGTTATTGCACTGAATGCTAAAATGTCAACTTTGGCTAAAAGTTAAAAGGCTGTAATCGACAAATATAGACTGCCTTTACTTTAAATGGAGAGCGTCAAGTATGGCACACTAACAAGATCAAAGTAGTTTCTGATAGCCTAAATATGTTTGTAGGAAAGCAGACCTTTATAAATGCAGAAAGATTCACATTGTAATGAGTTTAGCCTATTCTACCATCTTCCCAGGACATCTATCTATCTCACTTTTTTTCTGGAATATTAGCATGAAACAATAAACTTTCAAAGTCTTTGGGTCTTTGCCCACTGACTGTCATACAAAAGGGAATTTTGAGCTTAGTTTCACAGAACTAAGCAGTCAGATTTATTTTTTCTTTTCATTAACATCTATAGAAGCTGGGTAGAGCCCTCCACTGAATGGAAAATTATACATACAATATTAATACCTGTTTAATAATTATGCAAGACATAAAATAGGAAGACTTGAATCCCATTTTTAAAAAACGGAGACCAGCATCTCAGGTATAATCCTAATGGCTTCAGTAGTTTGCCCAGTGATGAATTTGGTTCCACCCTCCTTGCTTCTCTTCTAGAACTCACTTACAAAAACCCGGTATTATATAAAGTCAGTATGCATTCATCTTGGGTGAGGTCCATACACAAGAACAGTGTTGAACGGTCGGCCAAGTAGGCTCCTTTCGACATCCTCGTTCTAGACAAGCAACTCGCGCAGCTCCGGAGATGGAAGCAGGGAATGGCCGGGGATCGACCGCTCCAACACCATGGACAGTGGCAGAGCAGCCGGTTCAGCACCGAGGACAGGGGGGCCGAGGGCGGGCGGTAGCACCGCGGAAACCCGGCCCAGGGCCGGGCCAAGGAATGGGCTTGTTGCACCCCGGGCAGCATATCCGCCAAGGGGCAGGTAAAGAAAGGGGAAGGGAACAACCCTAGCCATCGCGATGCACAACGAACTAAGGCCATCACTATCCAGAATACTTAATCTAGTAGGAATCAAGTTACTATTTCGCCTCTTTCCCCTTTCAACAAAAAAGGTAAAAAAAAGAAAAAAATCAAGAAGAAAAATACTGTGGGGAAAAAAGACTGAAACAGAGCTACTCAATCAATGCCTATTTAATGAAGCCAAATGACAGTTGTAGAGGTTAAGAACTGGCAGAGTAATGGCTAGCAAATACATTATGCTCAAAAGCTGTCAAAGACTCAGCAAGATCTCTCCAGCAAGAGAAGCTTACAGAACCCATCAGCCCCAGGGAGAGCTTCCCTGGCTACTACCTGAGCTGCGGGGCACTTCACAGGCACACACACACAGAGAAAACCGAAATGATGTCTGCAATTCTCTCCCCTCCCTAGACACAGAAGCTACCCGTGTTCCGGATCGGTGCGAAGGGAGGGAAGGGGAAAGGGTGCAGCCCGTTGGAACCGAGGGCCGCCGGTATTATTAGAAACCACCGGAGTGGGAAAAGCTGGAAAGAGCGGGCTCCGTCCCAGTGTCCGCACTCGCACAGCCGCCCCCTTCCCTCCCGCAGCCAGCGGAACGCCATGCCCGCTCCCGGTGCGGCGGACCCGGATCGTACCGCGCCTCGCCCCACCGCGAAAGAACGGAGAATAAGGGAGGGAAGAATGGGAGAAGGGAGAATTTCCGTGCGTGCCTTTGCATGGGAGGCGGCTCCGCGGCGGCGAGGTTCCCTCTGGGCAGCCCCTGCGCCCTTGACATGACAGCGGCGATCTGCCTCCTTTCCTCCTCGCTCAGCTGGCTCAGGTCCGCCTCCACCCCGGCCGGGACGAGGCTCTCCAAGAGGGCCGTAGGGCCGCCGCCATCCCCGGCTGCCGCCGCCCCTTCGGGGAAGGAGCCCAGCCCTTCGCCTCCTTCCAGGCTCGCCTCGTTGCCCATGGCCGCCGCAGCTCCCCGCTCGCTGCCTCTCTCTTCGGGTGCAGCCCAGGCGGGGAGCGCCGCTCTCGGCGCTCAGCCCCGCTCCCCGGCGGGCGCTCAGGGCTCCGTGGCCACCGCCACCACCACGGCGCCGCACGACGGCAGCGGCGGGGCCAGGGCCGGGGCCGGGGCCGGTTTCTCTACCTGCTGCCAGGGACGAGCGGCGCCGCCAACCGCCCGCCGCGCCGCGCTCCGCCACCCCGTGCAGCGCATGCTCGGGACTGGCGGGGAGGGGGGGCTCCCCCGCGACCCCCCGCCCTGACAATTAAAGGCGCAGCGCACAGCCCGCGCCCGCGGACGGGCGGTGGTCGCGGTGGGCTCACAGCCGGCAGCACGTAGTAAGCAAGGCACATCTGGAGGATACCCATCCAAGCAACCCTGTGGGAGCAGAGCCAGAGAGGTCAGGGTGCTCAGGGCTGGGTGCAGCCGAGCTGGGACTGTTTCTGTGGCTGAAGATTTCACACTCTGTGGCCCTGTCTCAGTATTTGACCATCCTCATAGAATCACAGAATTGTTAGGGTTGGAAATGACCTTAAGATCATTTAGTTCCAACCTGCTTGCCATGCTCAGGGGCACTTCACACTAGACCATGTTGCCCAAGGCTCTGGCCAGCGTGGCCTTGAACACTGCCAGGGATGGAGCATTTACTACTTCTTTGGACAACCTGTGCCAGTGCCTCACCACCCTCACAGTAAAGAACTTCCTCCTTACATCTAACCTGAACTTCACCTGTTTTAAGTTAAAACCCACTACCTCCTGTCCTTTTGCTCCAGTCCCTGAAGAGCCCCTCTCCAGCATCCTTGTAGGCCCCCTTCAAATACTGGAAAGCCGCTATGAGGACTCCATGCCACCTTCTCGTCTCTTCTCATGATGATTGGCTCCAGTGTGTCAGTGCTGTTCTAGGACTGGTGAGCCCCAGGCTGGATGCAACAATCCTAAAACAGCCTGGCAACAAATTAATACATTGAGAGGAATCACCTTTAACCCACTGGCTGCAGCTGAGATAGTACAGCCCAGTTTGCCATTCACATTCCTCATCACAAAGGGCATGCTGCTTAAACACATTCACCTTCCCCTCCAACAGGACTTTTTCTGCAACGCTGCCATTGGGCCAGCCTGTCCTGGTGTATGGAGTTATTCCTTTCCAGACAGAGGCCTCTGCACTTGCCTTTGTTCAAACTCCTAAGGTCCCTGCAAGCAGCAGGCCTGCCTTTCAGTGTATCTACCATTCTCTGAGCTGTCGTGATTACAGGCCTGCTGAAGGTGTACTCAATGCCCTTGCCCACATCATTAACAGAGACATAGAACATCATTAGAAAGGTACAACTAGCAACATACCACCAGTCAGACTTGAAGTAACAAACCACAAGCCATTTAAGCCTGATAGTTCAGTCTATTTTTTACCACTGCACAGGTCTCACTAATTTGACTATATTATAGTTGATCGCACTGAAAGCCTGGTGGAGCATAATTCGCCTGGGGCAAACACATGCCATCTGTTTCCAATAACCTTCCTGTCCTTCATCTACTTGGACATGGCTTCCAGGAGGATTTGCTCTGCAACCCTTCCAGGAAAGGTACTAGCCACAGTAGTCAAACTGCCTCTTATGGATCCCCCTTCTTTAAGACAAGTGTGGTACTTGCCTTTTTCTGTTCATTAGAACAGAAAGGTCATTTCCCAATGACCTTTTCAAGATGATAGAGTGACTTTGCAATAGCATCCACCAGCTCTGTCAGCACCCTTTAATCCACCCCATCTAGTGCCATAAGTTTCTGCGTGTCCAGCTGTGCTTAAGTGCTTTCTAAGTCTTACTCTACTACAGGTCATGCTTTGCTCCCACATACTCTGATGCTCAGCTCAGGGACCTGGGAGACTCGAGGACAAACCTTACCCGTAAAAGCCATGGAAAGACCCACCAAGTACCTCAGCCTGTGTATGCCCCTTTCCACCATTTTCCTGCCTCATTGATCGAGAGCCAAATTTTTCCCAAATCCTTCCCAGAGATCTTATTAAACTGCAGCTGTATTTTGAATATTCCAACGTGTTTGTTAAACAACTGCATCTTCACAACTATCAGTTGTTTTAGCTACAGGGATGTGACAGCACCTGGAGCTCTTGTCTCCCTCTGTCGCACCATTTTCCTACAGGCACAGCTGTATGCAGATCCACCCTCCAAATGACCTACATAAGGATGTTGTCCAAATATTTATAGTACACTCATACTGTAACAATCAGAGACCATTTTTCTCCAATATTGGTTCACAATAAAGGATGGAACTAGTAGCAGTTGGATGCTTCCTATTTGTCTCTCAAGTGACTTTAAGTTACACATCAAAAGAGCAGCTAAGCAGAGAATGTGATAAAGCACAAAGGAAAAATCCTCTAAATGGATTTGTGTGACATGAGTGTAAGTAGATACCTACTCACAGAGTGTTCTAGGTAAAGACATCAGAGAGACCTGTGGAAGAGGTGACACACAACACAGTCACACCTGGATGAAGGTGGATTCACTTGGTATGTGAAGGGAAGATACAAATTTCAGTTAAGGTCTTTTAAGGGAGGCAATTACACATCACTATTCATTTAGCACAAGTGAACATCATGTATGTAAGTGTGAATAGCTGTCAAAAGTGCTGCTGCATGGAAGCAGGCAACAGATGGAGGCACAAGATGAGAAATTACTTTCAGCAGGAAGTTCACTGTTGGCTTCACTGGAGCCAAGGATGTCACCTTAAAATTCTTATGATTTCAAATATCTTAGGGTTTTTTTTTTGGAAACTGGTTCTTTTCACAGTTCTGTGACGTTTACCTTTTCTTATGAAACAGCATGAAATCAATAGCTGTCTGCCCCAGAGGTCCCACTGCAGGCCTATTTCCCTACATCTCATCATTTCAACATCTTTCTCCCCCTATGCTTCACAGTGTTTCCAAAAGTGACACGAACTCTGTCACCCTGGTGTTAATGATGAAACTCACAAACTAATGGGGCAAAACATTCTGTGGAAGCAAGGAAAGAAGAGTTATCGAATGAATCAGCCTTTTCCTCAGAAACCATGATGCCTAACTTGCTAGAAACAGCTTGGTGATGTTAGGCAAAATACCCTTATTAAAAAAAGAATTTATTTTTTTCATCCCTAGCACTGAAAAATGTGATTAAAACCCTTCAGAGATAAAACAGTCCCTTAAAAAGTGTATGCAAATTAGAACTGTTAAAATTTAGAGGCAGATATATAGAGGCAAGTTGTCTTCCTCCTTTAGACACTAGGCAATATAAAAACGATAGTCATGAACAGAGGTAAATCCAGCTATCCTTTGAGGGCTTGCTTCCAGTTTTTGAAGGTTTTTCATTGTATTTGTTTGAATCCAAAATAGGTTAGTTCAATCCACAGATACATATATTTTACAACATGAAGTCCATGCATGGTATTATTACCCCTGCAAAACAAAGGAACAATATATATGAAGTAACTTCATTCACACTGAGGACTGCACTGTATCAGTAACACAGTACTTTCATCAGGGATGGACCAGCTTAGTATGCAAACTAGATGTGTCAGATCCCCAGAGGAGCCAGTCCAAGTTAAAGCTGAGTATGCAGAAGCAGCACAAGGACACTGGTTCATCTTTTGCCAGTGCTGAATCTGATCTGGGACAAGTTAATCTCAGTTAAGTGTGTATCTTCAGCACTAAAATGAGTGCTTGAAGTTAATTTACTGATTAACAACACTGAAGACATCCAATCTTCTCATCAGTAGGCTACTTAGTGTAGATGTACTCTTTACATTTTAAAGCGGAGAAAAAGCCATTTAGTGTATAGAATTTGGAGAAGTTCTGCTAAGATCATCAGGAGAAAGGAGTAAAAGGTAAGTAAGACCTTGGCATGAGCTGGCAAAACAGGCAGGGAAGGAAAACTCCTATATCTTAATAATATGCCTGCCATTATTCCCAGATAAAAGTGAAGGAGTAAGAAGGTGTGTTAATCATTAGTGATTAAGAGAGGCTGTGATGATCAGTACCACAAAGGAAGGTAAAGTTAAAAGAGGAGCTATAATTTGCATAAACATATTTATAACAATTTACACATTAATTATTTAATATCTAATTTTTAAATATACCTACCTAAAAATTACAGTGTCCCTATCACATTTACCTACCCCATCTCAGAGATGACAGACTGTGGATGGTACCTTGAGTTTAACAGACATGCCTAAGATACATCTAACAGTGCAGTCCATCTGCCGTAGAGAATGAGCAATACCTCTTAATGTCCAGACAGTTAAAACAAGACATTTAATAAATATATTTAAATACATAAAAATAAAGGAAAACACTGAATTTCATAGTTCAGTCAGTTGCACAACTATACTTGCTGTCCTCTCCTACTCACCATCTCAAAACACATTGAAGTTTTAAAGTATGAAATAAAAAACTATTAACCTGGTTTTTGGAAAGTTGTTATGCAACACCTAGGAAGTGATAATTTCAAATATGACATAAGTTTTGTCTATATGAGCATGTGAGCCAGAAACACCTGATGCTGTAAATAAGACATTTGTATGTGCACTCTCGGTAGTGCCGCCAGCACACTAATGTACTGGGCAGCTCACTGGTGCAGGTTATATAAAACACCTATTAAGAAGTGGAAGCAATGCATACACAGTCTGCTCTAAATGGATGTATGCTCTAAAACAAGAGCACAAGAGAGTGAGGCTTCTTCTCTCACATGTACTAATTTTGTACCAAAACTCTTATCTACATACCAACCAATCTTGGGCTAAAGACTGCACAACTGATGCTCTTCAAGATCATAATGAACCTCCAGTCTCAGACTTACTAGTCACCCAAACAACCAGTAAACGATGACACCAAGGTACTTTGCAAAGCACTGTGTATCGATCTTCTGTTCAAATACATATTATTCCTCTCTCTACACAGAATTTTCTATTCCACCACTGTACATGCTGGTCGAGAAGCCACCAAAATAGTGAGTTACCCCCATTCCAAAGATCCTACAAAAAATACCTACTTAAGGAAAAAACAACAAAAAAATAAAACAAAAAAATAATAAATAGACTAAATATAGCATAAAACCTCTCAGGTAAGAGAAAATACCCT